AACCACCCCTCGATCTGTACCTCTGTAGTAAAGATTCGATTAACGAACCAAGTTTGGAAAAATATGTGCTATGAAGTTGGGAGGGGTAGGGTAATGTCAAACGATGTAAACAACGAAAGCTAGCAGCATGAGATGAGACAATAATATTTAGAATCAATACACGTTCCTTTAATTAGAGTGGGAAGCCTGTGGATAGATGTTAGCCGTCGTACAGTGTGCAAGATGTTTCAAGATGCGGGTGCCTTACGAGTGTCGACGCGCAGTGTCCCGTGGGATGGATGGATGAGCACCAAGGCTTACCTTATGAAGTGAAGAATTGCGGTGTGTTTAAGGTATGTCCAGGGAGTAATGTACATTCTATTTGTATTCTATTGAGTTTACCAATGACAAGCGCACTTTTGATAACCACAAGACCATGGTCTCTTGATTCCCAAAAGTGAAAAATCATCACGCTAACAGTAAACAGTTATTTTTCCAGTTATTTTTAACGATGCAGTGCATTTCTTTAATCGGCGAGTTTCCTTCCCTAGAGGAATGTGACGTTTATATCTTTGGTCACATCTTCTTGGAGGAGTAGATGATGGATGGGATTGGTAGAATAGATGGGACGGATCGATGTATTGATGTGACAAATGGATGGGAGGAATGAAAACTATAACATCGTTGAACAGATGGAGGAACAAATACATGATCGATGGATGAAAGTGGTCTCATTTAGGTACTTTATAAATACGATGAATGGGTAACTGGGGTTTCAACCGGACAGGTTTTCAGGGGTTTTCAGTCGTCTGATGGTAAAAACTGTTTTTTAAACTAATGTTATTGTGGCTACTATTTACTTTTTATAGTAAAGCCTAATGACAAGCAGATGTTAGACGTCTATTTGATGGTAGACCGCACTATGTACTCGGTGCCAAGCTGTTGATGGAATTTAGACCAAGAAACTTGCACATCAGGTTTTTCGCATCAAAGCAACTATTATTTTACATTGTAAAACAAAATTCGAAATACCTTTCTACTTGATCCACGCAAATAATCAGATTCCTGCAATAAATGTGTACGGGAAAATAAGCATGCAGGGCTTAAAGTGCAATTTCCATACATTATAGGAATGATCAATGCTCTTTTTTTGTTGTTGTTGTTTTTAGTAATCTTAGCAAATAATGCATTTTTATATTTCCTGATCGTGCATACCTCACATATGAAAACTGAAGCTAACTAACAAATTGTACAAATTAGGGCCAAGTATCGTAGGTTTACGGTGTAGAGTACATACTATATATTCGTAAAATCATCGTAAAAAATTGCACATATTTGCCGACAAATTAGATTAAAGTTCAATAGACCTCAGTAGATCGTAGACCTACAAAAATTTGCACTAATTTCAATTTTGTTAACTTTTCACAGATAGTTTATATGGTGAGTGCACTCTTCTGAACTTACTACTGAGACCTTACTAATTTTTTGTGCAAATTTGAGCAATTTTGAACAAAGTTTTTCATGGATATATGGTATGCATTCTAAGCTCATTGAAGTTCATTAAAAATTTCCTTTCTTCGCATTTTGCTGTTTACTACATCATATCATTAATCTACGTGGTTTCTACCGTATGCAAGTGGTTAATTTAAGCTGCGCCCTATTCATTATATATGATGTCTGGCTTCTAGTGAGTCCCCTGCGCATCACACGCCTTTTCCTTACAGGTTTGTCAATCTTCTCTCTGTGTATTTCTCGGTTCTTTCAGGAACCTTTTAGAATATCACCTGGTAGAGAAATGGGGAGTAAAGCTGCACTGCTCGTAGCAGTGGGTCTTGTTATGATCTTTTGCGCGGTACAAGCAAATGATGTGCAGCAACAAAATGCGAAGCGAAAGATGGTCAATCCAACGAACACGCCAAAAACTCTGTCTGATGTGGTAAACATGTTGAGGAATTTAGAGAAAAGGTATCGTATTCAAAAAGACATTGGAAATAGAGTGAACTAAGGCATTTAACCCTTGAAATCAAAAATGCTAGTCACAGTAGTCAACGTGTAATAGTCAAATCGACACAAAAGAAAACAATGGAATTAGGGTCTACTAAAGTGTATTAGTCTAATATCTATTTCACGGGTTTAGTGACTTCACTCTAGTCAAATAGACACGAAAGAAAACAGTGTATTAATCTAATATCTATTGCACGGGTCTAATGACTTCTCGTACTGGAAAGAAAACTAATTATGGGTTCCACCTATCATGAAACATTAAAAATACTTTGGCTAGCATAGCATAGTTCGACAACAAGGATAAAGAGGATCTAGTATTTCAA